GAATGAAGGGCAATACGCCAAGTGTTTTAAGGAATGGGCTTTTAAAGTCAGATTGCTCTGGATTTAGATCTTAGCTTAGCCACCAATAGCTGTTAAGCAAATCAGATCTTAGGGGTCTTAATTCTGCTCTTTGTTGTTTTCTTTCAGCTGTCACTCATGGTAAATTATTTCCACTAGTGTTTTTATTTCTTAGCTCACGTTCAGTGGATCTTTCTCTGTGGGAATCCCGAGTCCCTGGTTGAGGGTATATCCTTTCAGGAGACCATTTGTGCCCCAGGGTTATCATCAGCCTAAGATCACTTTTTAATGTTAGTTCTTACCAGGGAAGTAGTGAAACTCAAACCTTGTACCCACTGACCACAAACTATCAGGGAAGTCCCTGCCCCAGTTATCCCAAGATAAGGCACAAGGCAAGCTTTCTCAACATCTTCTTGTGCTGACAGGTTAATTTTTTCTAATTCACTCTTCTGCTGAAGATGTAAGTCCCTCCAGAGATCTTTACACCAGCTTTCAACCTTATATTGGTCCAAGATTTTATTATTTCAATTAAAATTTAGATCCCTTGTTTACTGCCTCTTCTCCTCCAGGGCAGCCAAAATAAGCACCATCTTACCAGTCTGATTTTCAGTGTTCACCATTCTCTCTCTTGCTCCTGTATGTATTTAAAAGAAAGCTGGTTATATTTTATCCAGCATTTTTACAGGGAAATTTTCTTTCCCCCATGTGTCCAGGAGAGAATTTTCAGATTCTAATTGACTACACATCTAAAAACAGAAGTCTGAGCAAGTTATTGAGTCTCTTGAAACCTAGTTTCTCATCTGTAAAATAGGGCAGAGGATTGTTGAGAGTACTAAAAATTAAAAAATATATTAAGCACTTAGCCCTTTGGCTGGTACACTGAGAGTACTTAAATGGTAACAATAAAATTACTCTTATTGGCAAACCTTAAATTTTACAATCAGCTATTGAAATAAACAAATTCAACCTGATAGAGTGGGTTTTTATTGTGCTTTGGCTTAAGGAACTTTGAATATTCATTAATCTCCTAAGTAATTGTGGATCACTGCTCATAACCCATACCAATAATGAAAGTATGCTATTGAAATGATCCAAATCAATTAATTAGAGCACATTTATTAAGGTTCGATTTGCCAACTCGGTTTACTTTGTGGTTTTGAATAAAATTATAATATTTAGGAAAAACTCCCTAAATTGGTAATTCAGCAGGTATTCTCTTCAAAGTTCAAATTAACTGATACCTGTTTTGGGCTATAAGCACTCAGAAGGCAATAGCTATTTGTTTGGAAAAATAGCCATACCAGTACCATGTACACATGAGTATCTATTAGGTAAAGAGGATTTCCTAAACATGACACTTTAGTAAAGTAACAAACACAGCCAAGAAGATTGAGTCTGATACCTAATTGCTGTTTGACCTGGGGCAAATCACTTAGTGACTGTGAACCTGTTTATTTCCCCATCTCTAAAGAAATCTGCCTCTCCTACTTTAATGAGTACTCATGAGGAACAAATGAGGCAGGGAGCCAGTGGTATGTGATTTTGCATAGTGTAATGTATTATAATTCCATAAAGCATTGTTAAAGTATGTTAAAAGTATAACAATATCTCAGTCTGTTTGTGGGCATTATTTTCATAAATAGAAATACAAAGAGGTAAATTTCTCCTTGTCTTCTGGCCCTTTGAATTACTATAGCCACTCTCAACCAGGGCCCTGTAAGAGACAGACATCTAAATTTAAGCTTCATTCTATCCAAGCCAGCTGAAATAGCTTATTGTGCTTTAGGGTCAATATGTGGTCTATTTGGTCATCTGTGCACCCTCAGAATGTAGCAAAGGGTAAGTCCACAAGGGTGCAGAAAAAGCTTAGAGGGAAAAAATATATGCTGTAGTTTTTGCATTGTGTTTTTCCGTATGAATGAGTAATAGTGTTACACAAAGAACCCCTACAAAGAAAGAGCTGAGGTAATCGCCTCATGACATTAGTAATGATTTCAGCACATAAAGGGAACTGGATGGCAGTAATTCAAGCAGTCTAAAAGACTCTGGAAAGGCCACAGGCACTAAAAGAACCGTAGACTGCTGATTGCTACCAGTTTAGAGAGCTTAAATTTTCCAATCCAAAAGACAGAAATTAGTGTACATACCAATAAGCAAATTTTAAGTTGATTGACATCTTATTATTTGAGAGTGATTTATGAACAAAAGACAAATTATTTCCCATGCCAACTATTTACCATATTTTCCAGACTATATACTATAAATAAAGCCAAGATTTATGACATATTTTACTCCTTAATTTCTTTCTATTAAATCCCTCCAAAAGTAGCTTTAAATTTTCATAAGTTCAGTAATTCAAACAGTTATGTGTTGAGTGTCTCCCAACGAAGTTGACTGGCTAGTACACTCTAGAAGTTATCCCAGAAACTATGTGCACACAGGACAGGCAGCACAGGCGGAATGAGGGCCTTGACCTGAAATGTGCTTCATGATTTATGGCATGACATCTCAGATAGTGTACAAAGGAAGACACAACTAAAATATTGTGAATTAGCTTAATTTTTTCCTGCAAGAGTGGCATAACTTTTAAACATCCCTTTTATAGTTGGTCAGAAGCTGATTTTTCAAAACCAACCTATAACAAGCAATAATTAATGTCAATTCTCTTCTTCCCCATCCCTTGAATGCAGCCTCAGTATTCTAAACTTCAGTGTTTCAGGGGCTGTCAGAGTAGATATGCAAGATAAAACCTGTTTGGCATCCCTGAGTTAGGCTGTAACAGGTTCTGGGAGATACTGACTAGGATTAAACTGTAATAGGAATAGGAAACAGTCAAGTCTCTAAACTCTCAGAAGCTTGGAGAGAATGGAATCTGAATCATAATGTGGGAATAACAAATTCCGAACCCCCAAAATGAAAGGTGCTAATGGAGGCCTTAGGATATAGTTCTTCCCACATTCCCTCACTGGAGTGAAGTATTTGTCCTAGGTGTGTGCGTAACTGTTGAATGAGGCATCAAGATCTATTCCATGTGGCAGCCGTGTGAGAAATCACTATGTAGGGCGCACTCAATGTTTCCCCTTGTTGAGAGAGAATTCCTCTTCTATTTTGACAGCACAGATGTCCCTAACAGCACATGAAGGCTTCTCAGAAACTAGTCAGAGATCCCCAGGAGATAAACGGACAGGGAACCTTTTTATTACTCTACTCTGCTGAATACAGGTCTTAGGAGAAAGGATCCAATCTTTGTACCCATGAAATTATTAAAACACGTAAAGTGATCAAGAACATTATGCCCCCATCTTCAAGGCTGCAGACAGAGGAGAACATTAGTTTTTAGAGATACAGAGGCCTATATAGTGAATTCCAAAGGACTATAGTCTCATTCAACAATGAACAGTGACAATTTGTTTCTAGAGTTGGTAAATTCCCCTCAGGCAGTGACTTTTGGTAAAAGGGATAAAAAAGGCTTCCACTCCTCAGCATTCTCAAGATCCTTTGCTGCACTCTCACATTTAACCTGAAGCCATCAGAGCAGCCTATTTACTGTCAATCTACATTTCTTTGACATAGTTTTGGAGAGGATTGTTTCTAAGAACTACATGTCACATTGCTCCTTACCCTTTGCCATTTACTGCGATTGAACCCTTGGCCACACTGCAGCGGAATCTGCCAACGAGGAATAGCTGCTAAACTGAGAGCCCCCTTTGTCCATGAGGACCCAACTTGTGCTGTACTGATGCGGAAGGGAAACCATCCAAGATTTTGAATGAGTAGGTTTGAAGTATGTACCATTATAGGAACAAAATGTTTTATTATGATGGTCTGCTAGAGGTATCCTGTGTTACATTTTGAGAAACACTTGAAGCCACAGAGCTATTTCTCTTTCAAACATATTGACACCACAGATGTGAAGAAAAAAAGCACACACAGTTAATGAGCCCACAGCATACCCAAATGCTCTAAGAAATTAGCCAAAACCTAAGAGAAAACTATTCATATGAAAATGGATCAGTGAATAGGATCAGTACAAATAGCTCAACAACTTGATAGCTGTCAATAAAAGTCAACCAAAACAATTCAACCTTCCTAGGAATCGCCCCAAAGACATGGTAAGTAGACCATGTCTTTTGTCTGTTAGACCAAAACAGTATGGGGAAATTTTTTGCCAATTATTTCCTTGCCAGTAACATGACAGTAGACCCTATATTGAGGCTCTGAAATAGATTTACTATGTTTAGTCTCAGAGGCCTATATCAAGATCTTGTCTGGAACCTGATCAAAAAAAACGTTTTTTAAGGTTTTTAAAAACTTAAGGAAATATTCTGATCAGACAAGACAATTTAAGGTTGTTTCCAGTTATTCCTCAAATATGAAGTAAAATTTACTTTAGGAGGAGTAAGGATTCCAAGTGTAGTGAACAGGGATGGGATAAAGATACCTAGCTCCCACTGATCTTATGACCTCTATTATAAAAAGTAGATTCTTAAAAATATATAAATGTACATAGAATATATTAACACACACATTAACACACTTATATACATTTTCATATCGATTCCAACTTTGTATGACTGCTGTCTCATAATCCTTAATGACAAAAGTTAGTAAGTCCAACTACTCCTATGCCTGCTGCAAAGATGAAGAATCCAGTTCAGGAGTATAAATGAGTTAAATGTATGTACAGGTCATAATTTGGGTGACAATGAAAATAGCTACTTAAACACAGCAGGATTTTGGCCTAAGCTTTGGCTGGTATTCATTTATAACTACATGAGTTTGGAGGTTACATCAAGGAAATGCTAGAAATTCAGCATTTTTTAAAAATAAATAATTTTACTCTTAAGGCTCCTTTTTGTGTGTTGTTTACAGAGTGACAGGGAAGAGAGTTCTGGCTCTTACCTCATAACAGAGAAAGCAGAACTTATTTCAGGAACATCAAGGTAGCAACTGTCAGAGAGAAAAAGTTCTCATAAACCTACCAGGAGGCGTGCAGGCATCTGCAGGAGACTGGACAAATGTGGATCGTCTTTTGGTTGGCATGGGCAAAGCCATCTTCTGTTCTTTATGCTTTGCCAGTGCAGCTTGAACTGCTTCCGTGTGGATATCTGAAAAATTAAACATTTGCATTTATTAGCTCCTGGCTCTTGAAGTGTTTGCCACCGTGGGCTGAACTATCACAGTTTCAATTGTTAAAAAAGGTAAAAGAAGTATTTAGATGATTTTCATTTATCATTTGATTTAGACCAATTAAAAATAAAAATCAAAAAAATAGAAACAAAAGAATTCAAGGACAATTTTACAGAGGAGGAAAATAAAGACCAGAATGACTATGTGACTGCTTAAAATACCAAAGAGTTGACAGACATGTGGGGGTAGGGAGGTAGAGAGAGAATACAGAGTCTAACATGCATCTGTGCCAGGCAGGGAACTCTGCCTCTAAATGGAATGAGTGCTGTGCAGGTGCCTGGAGAACACTCATTATTTTTCAAGAAAAGAAGCTTAGGATTTGCTTAACTGTCTGAAAGAAAACTTGGTTGAGACCCCTCAGTTCTATGGCACAGGAACAGAAGGACTGATTTTGATCTAGAAAAACACAAGGGCAGATGTTACTTGTTTGCCACTTAGGGCACAAATGAATTCAGCTCTCTACTTGAATGTCGAATAGGAATGGCAAAAATCAACATATCCAAACAGAGCTCTTGATTCTCCACCACCTCCTCAAAACACTCTATAGTTCTACAAAATAGGATCATACTGTACACAGTATTTTGTATTCCGCTTTTTAAAAAAACTTACAAAAAATCCTTCTCAGGTAAATAACCACTGAGGTAGCTTCCTAGTTCACAAAAAACAATTTCCTCTCGTTTAGGAATAGGTTCAATCCACATGTGTCCTTCCATGCCTCTCTGTTTTATATAAATGTATTCTTAGAAGATCTAGACTAATTAGATCCCTTTTTTGAAATTTAAACTCTGAGTCAAGGAACTGCAGGTCCTGGAGTTGAGTCACTTTAATAACAGTGTCCTAGAAAGAAAAAAGATCTTTGAACTTCAAGGTTGAGATCCTCAGAGTTATTTCTCCCTTACTAGGGATTTCTCATCTATTCCTTTTGCTTCTATGACCTGCTCCAGCTGCTAAAGGTAGCCTAAGTCGGTCTCTGTTTCCGGCAAAAAAAAAAAAAAAAACAAACCCACAAAACTTCTAGAAACATCTCATTCTGTAAATATAGACCTACAACATAATTTTAAAGGGCTGCATAGTATTCCACTGTATAAATGTGCCCTAAGTTGTTTAAGCAGCCCCTTATTATCAGAGATTAGCTTGTTTCCAATATTTTGCTACAATTCATAGCAACTATTCATAGCAAGAATAATTCAGTATTTCTACCTTAACATATCTAATTATTTCCTCAGCATTAATTCCAACAATTGCTGAGATCAAAGTATAATACTTCTTTTCCCAGGAATACTTTTCAATATGTATTTCCTAAGAACAAGTCTCCTTCTCCTACATAATCTCACTACATTTATCAAAATCCAGAAATTCAACATTGACACAAACTATTATCTAACCCACAATCCATATTCCAATTTAGCCAATTGTCCCAATAATGTCCTTTACAGTTTCTTTCCCCCTTTTTTCCTGATCCAGGATCTAATGCAGGATATCACATCATTATATTTAGTTGTTCTGCCTCTTTGTTCTCCTATAATTTGGAAGTTTCCCAGCCTTACTTTGTCCTTTATTATTCTGACATTTTTGTACAGGCTAGTTATTTTATAAAATCCCCTTTAATTTTGGTTTATTTGGTATTTCCTCAATCATTTCAGGTTATGCATTTTAACAGGAATACCACAGAAGTAATATGTCCTTCTCAAAACGTGATTTCAGGATGCATCTGCCCCATTACTGATGATGTAAGTTTGATGATGTTATGAGACTATGTTAACATTATATACATCATTAACTTTCACACACTAGTTTTAGCATCCATTGCTGATTCTTGGCTAAAGCAGTTATTATTATAACAGTCACAATATGGTGATTTCATAACTCCATCATTTTTTCCATATTTATTAGTTGGCATTTATTATAAGAAAAAGCTGGCTGGGCATTGTGGCTCATGCTTGTAATCCTAGCACTCTGGGAGGCGAAAGTGGGAGGATTGCTTGAGCTCAGGAGTTCGAAACCAGCCTGAGCAAGAGAGAGACCTGTCTCTTCTACAAATGGAAAAATTAGCTCGGCATTGTGGTGTGTGCCTATAGTCCCAGCTACTTTGGAGGCTGAGGCAGGAGGATCGCTTCAGCCCAGGAGTTTGAAGTTGCAGTGAGTTGTGATGATGCCACTGCACTCTAGCTGGGATGACAGAGTGAGACCCTGTCTCAAAAAAAAAAAAAAAAAAAGCTTTCCTTTCTCCCCATTTATTTATATCATCATGGATCTGATACTCATTTTATTCCATGACTATTCTGTTTCCATCATTATTTATTTTGATGCTCACATTATTCCAGATTTGGCCATCAGGAGTCCCCCAAACTGGATCTTACATTCTTTTGACAGTCTCATGAGTTTGAGCAGTTGTTTTATGGCATAAGACGTTCCATGCTCATCTAATACTTTCCCTACTCCAGCTCTGGAATTATACATTTCTTCAAGGAGCCTGGGCTCCTTTTAGTGAAGAATAAATGGTATTCATTCTAAATAAATGGTATTTAGAAATCAAGATCTTAGAACTAGGGGTATTCAGTGCTACTGGGGTGACTATTCTAAACCCTTTCAGTGGATAAAGGAATATAAACACACATATTCATGCACATACAGCTATACCTATTTCTAACTATATCTATATTAAAAATGGTTAGTACATACTAATACCTCCACTTCCAATTCAACGTCATTGTAGTTAACCCCTTTCCACTTGTAATTCCACTCCATAGTAAGAAACCTGGTTCAAAATATTCTCAATATATTCTACTCATTCACTCAATCCTACAATACACAGAAAATAGTTACAAAATTGCTATCTTACACCAATATGAAAAATAAATATTTTAACTAGAGTTCAATATTAGTTTGCAGTCTTTTTGTCTTCAGATGGAGGGCATATATTAATAGTTAAAGTACTGTGTTCAAAAGCTATGTGAGTTAGTTCTCATCCTTCCCTGCTTTGGTTTGGTTATATTATTCATATAGTTAGGTTCATTTTGTTTGTTTGTTTATATTCTGTAAGTCTCTCCCAACCTTGCTGATTAAACATTAATAAGATTCTAAAAGTCAAAACTATACCAAAAAGTAAACTTAAAGAAGTGTCACTACTCCAACAATCATTTCTGCCTGAATTAGGTAACTTAACTCTTTAGGTATTAGTTTATCCTTCCTATACATAAATACACAAACACATACACACACACACACACACACACACACACACATATTTTTGCAAAAATAAGCAGACGTGCATTTTTTCATTTCTCCATCTTTCATATACGAAAGGTAGCATATTATACATCTTTTGCACTTTCCTTTTTCTACTTAACAATATATCCTGGAAATCATTCTCTAACAGCTACTAAAGATCTTTATTCCTTTGTATAGCTGCATAGTTTTCCATAGTATACTACAGTTTATTCAACTACAACCCTATGTTTGGACATGTGTTTCCAGTATTTTACAATTACTAAAAATACTGCAACAAATAGCCTTATGTAAATATATTTTTATACTAATGAGGTATATCTTCAAAGTAAATTCCTGTAAGTGAGACCCCTAAACCAAAAAGCGAATACTTTAAAAATTTTGTTACATCTTCAAAATTCTCTTTCAAGAGTTTTTACCATACCATACCATACCAGCAATGTATAGGCGTGCCTGTTTCCCACAGCCTCATCTCCAGAGTATGTTGTCTGCGTTTTGACTGTTGCCAACTCGATAGCTGAGAATTGGTATTTCAGCACAGTTTTGTGTCTTTTGTTGTTGTTTTAGAGACAGTGTTTCACTCTGTTACCCAGGATGGAATGCAGTGGCACAATCATAAATCACTGTAACCTCAAACTCCTGGGCTCAAGTGATCCTTCTGCTTCAGCCTCCCGAGCACCTGAGATTACAAGCATGCCACCATGCCCAGCTAACTTTTCTTATTTTTTTGTAGAGACAGGGGTCTCACTGTGTTGCCCAGGCTTGTCTTGAACTTTCTGGCCTCAAGCAATCCTCTTGCCTCAGCCTCTCAAAGTGTTGGGATTACAAGCATGAACCACCATGGCCTCATTATACTTTTAATTTGCATTTCTTTTATCATTAGTGAGATTAAACATCTTTACAGAGGATTTAGAGACTATTTTATGTTGTTTCTTTTTAAGTAAAATCGATGTTAATTTCGCTTGATCATTTTTTCTATTGTGCTTCTGTGTTTATTTTCCCTTAATTTTTAAGTGTTCTTATATAAGAGAAACCAGCCCTTTATCTATGAGATATGTTAAAAATATTTTCTTTCAGATTTTGTCTTTTGGCATTATTTTTTAACCATGCGCAAGTTTTTAAAAATTGTTATAGAAGAAAGATCTCAAATTACCAATCTATCTACAACTCAAGAAATCAAAGAAAGAACAATCTAAACCCAAAGTTAGCAGAAGGAAAAAAGTAATACAGATTAGAGCAGAATTAAATGAAATAGAGAACAGAAAAATATGGGGGAAAATCAACAAGAGTTTGTTTTTTGAGAATATCAACAAAATGGACAAACCTTTAGCAAAATTAACTAAGAAAAAAAAGACTCAAATAACTAAAATAAGGAATGAAAAAGGAGATATTACAACTGATAACAGAAATAAAAACTATAAGAGACTACTATGAATAATTATATGCCAACAAATTGGATAAACTACAAAAAAAATCAATAAAGTCTTAGAAACATATAACCTACCAAGACTGAATCCTGAAGAAATAGACAATGTAAACAGAAATAACTAGTAAGGAGACTGAATCAGTAACCAGAAGTCTCCAACAAACAAAAGCCCAGGACCTGACAGTTTCACTGGAGAATTCTACCAAACATTTAAAGAAGAATTAACCCCAATCTTCCTCAAACTATTCCAGAAAACTGAACAGG